AACCCCCAAACAAAAAACAAAAAAAAAAAAAAAAGTGTCCAATCCTCATGTATCCCAGTCTTCTTTCTATTGAAAGCTAGTTAAAAACACTGACTTCACTGAGAAAAGGATCAGGTCCATTGTCATTTACCAATGCAGCTGTCCGCTTTGTCCTGAGAAGAGAAATGATAGTTTGGCATTTTGTAGTCAAACTCTGCAAAAAGCCCCTTTATGTTGGTCATGGATATGGTGCTTTTCCTTGCTGGGTGAAGGATACACAGTAAGATGAACCATCTCTTATTGGCAAATGAGTTTTTGATCTGAAGCTCAGGATAGATTTAGAAGTGACTGGGCAGAACCCAAGCAACTAATTCACCAATAGATGACTATGGACTGCCTTGGAGGAATGTTCCTGGGAGCCAGATTTGACCCAGTGGCCCCTTGCTAATAAGTTCATAAAAGCCATCCAGCCTTCCAGGTCAGAACTAATGATAAACAATATGATATTAAATAGAGGTCAACTAGGTTAAATATGAGGAAGTCATCAGGGTTTGAACAGATAACATGAGTAGAGTTCCAGCCTTTGGGGGTGGAGCTAAGCCACAGCAAGAACTCAAAAGGCATTTCACATTTGCCTTCTGTGTGATGCGGAAGAAACCATTAGATTAGTCTTTAGGATCATATCTCAAGACCACTTGGACAAGGAGCAGTATGGTGACACCAGAGAGCCTGGAAGTGTATGTTATTTTCTAGGACTTGCTTATTGGGTTGGGGTCAGCATGAGGAGTGTGCTCCTAGTGCCTAGTTATGGCTTTGTAGGATCTCACTCACGTTTCTGTTTAACAAAGCACATGGTTAGCATGTTTCATGCTGTCATGGCAGGGGCCCCATGAGTGGCCGTGATCCCGCTAGCGCCCCCTGCTGTGCCAAATTAGGAGAACCAGCACCCTCTTATTCTTGCCCACCACATCTTTGATCTTATATAATTTACTATAGAAGGCTGCCTTTGATCTCCTAGTATCTATGGGTGACCTGGTGCACCCCAGCCTTATGGGCTATGCGTGCTTCCTACCTCCCCTTTAGCACGCCCCAAGCCTTGCAGCTGTTCTGGACATTGTCTGGTCACTCATGCCTTACCTGGCACCTTGGGCTTGTCACGCAACCGACACCCAATATACACGCCCTCTCCAGGCCTTTACCCGCACGGCCTGCCCTCTCCGGGCTCCTGCTCATGTGCTCTGCTCTTCTGGGCTCTTTAGACTTGCCCTCGCCCCTTTCAGGGGCTTCCCAATCGACTCGCCCTTGTCTAGTGCTTCTCCCGTATCCTTGTCTTCACTGGACGCTCCAATCTTAGACGTGCCCTTCTCCCGGCTTCTAACCGTGCCTTGCTCCTCCTGGCCCCGATCCGCACGTCCGCCCCTCTCCAGGCTTTACTCACACGCCTGCCTCTCTCCAGGACTCTTAACTGCACACTCGCCCTTCTCTGGGGCTTCTATACAAAACTGGTGCCACTCCAATCTTATACTAGCCCTCACCAGGGTTCACTCATGCCCTCACCCTTCTCTGGGGCTCATCCCATGCTAAGCCACGCTTGGGGCTCAGGTGGCACGCAGCCATGCCTGGCCCCCTGACCCTTCTCGGGGTCCTTCACCCGACTAGGCCAAATACCGCCCTCAGGCTGGGGTCTCAACCCCCTACACACCGCACCATACTGGTGCCAAACAGCCATGTCTCTCAGGCACTGCTCTGTGCCCAAACAGGGCACCCAGGAAACCCCCAGACTACTGTGAGGCCTCCTCACACCCCTACAGCCTCACCTGGTCCTCCAGTGCAACATCAAACCCAATGAAAACTTAAAGCCCCAAGCCCACCAGCTGCAACACAAAAATCAGCCTACCAGCTATAACATAGATAAGCCCCCTGGCTGGTCCTCCATAAGCCAAACACAAGCCATGAGCCAACTGGCTATACCCTCCATTAAGCACCTCCCTGGCTACTCTCCATCTCCCAGTCAGGGCTCTCTCCACCGCGTACCATAATGCCAATGCTCAGGTGGTCAAGCTGCTCTGCCCTACAGCAAAGCCTCCTACTGTTGCAGCTGCCAGAGGGGGACTGATGCTGGTCTCAGCCTTCT